CCCCAAAACCCCAAAACCCCAAAACCCCAAACAAGATTTTAAGATTGAAACACAATTGGCCACTAATCCACGACTAAAAGAAGTCGAGGCCGTACTTCTGTTTGAACTTGAGGCCGCTTCGCTCGCTGCTTCTGAATCAGACGGAGTCTCCGAAGACCTTGACTTTGGGGCCTCCCGGCACTTTCACCAGAAACGTGAGTCCCACTATGGATGTTAGCGATGCTTACTCTTCGGAACGATCTTCAGAGTCGCTGTTTCAGGAGCTGCTTGCTCGCTCTCGATTGGGTCTTTGCAACTCGGACTTGCATTGATGCTTGGATTTACAGATGGACAAATGATGGTGAAGGTGTGTCTGCTTTCTTTGACAACAATGCCTTCGAGTCCGATGAGCGCCTTGTTCTTGGCTTCGAAGACCGAGATGACTGCTCCATGCAGATCTCACTTGGCTATTTTGAACAGAGCAGAGAACTTCTGGCTGATTTCAGAAGATGCAATTTTGGAGGTGTCTCCGAGAAGGTCTTTGATGTATTCTTTCCACATGAGGTGAATAGGGATAATGTCATTGAAGCTAATTTGCTCAGGGTCAATATCAAAGATATGACTTCTCTTTATATCACTTTTAGATGGTTTTAGAATTCCTCTAAACGACTTCTTTTTCTTTAAAGGAACTGCTTCATCTGATGCCTTTGAAGGCCCAACATAATTTTCAAGAAGAAATGCACTGCTCCTATACAAAATGTCACCTCTATAGCTTACTTATACAAATGTGTAAACGCAGGATCCATTATTGCTTTAATCCTCCCAACTGCAGAAGGTGCTTTGGAATCTCTCTTAATACTCAACTTCTTATACACATCAACAGTCCCTCTCATATACTCATCACCTGAAAGTAACCTCCAATCTCACCTTTACACTCCTCTTCTACCTGCTCAAAAATCTGCTCAACCTCCTTCTTCCTGCCACTCTCTTCCTTCTGCTCCTTTGTTTCTTTCTTCTTTATTTTCTTCTTACCTAATCGTTCCTCCTCTATATGTTTCAACTTCTTATCTCTCTTCTTCTTCTTAATCTTCTTAGTCTTTACCTTGTCAAGGTCAAAGAGAGAGTCAAGGAATTTGTCATTGGACTGACTAGGATTCATCTTAACTTAATTGTTATATTTTTGTGGCTGTTTTTTGGGAAGGGGTTTTGGGGTTTTGGGGTTTTGGGGTTTTGGGG